GCTGTAAAAAAGTTTTTGATTAGGAGATTAATTAATTGATATGAAACATGGCCTTGAAAAACTTTGAGTTGATCCCAAAAAGTGAAAAAGTAATTCCTCAGGGATGGAATGAATATTAGTGATATGCTTACATGTCATATTTAACTGCGATAAATTTAGGGGTAAATTTGTCCAGGGATCCTAACCTTCAATTAGTGTAGCAATTATGTCTTTAAACCTTTTAACGTTGTGCATGTGCTATCTTCATCTATTGAATTCGAGATGTAAAAGTGATAGACATGTGATGTATGATTGAATGTGTAAAATTGTCAAGAAAGGATTTTCTTCCAAAATTTAAAGGGCTGCCATTAAAATTACATTAAATATTGCCTTTTTTTAACAATTTTACCCTTTCAGTCTGACATTACTTTCTTGTCGCATGACAATTACATGTGTGAGGTGTTGATTAATAAGCCAGCTTATCAAAATCTTCAATGCTTAAATTGCATTTAATTTTTCACAACAGCGAAAAAATCATTACAATATTTTTTGAACAAGTAATATGAATTCATCATTTATTGTCAGTCATCAGTTCCTCTCATAGAGGAACCACATCTATCTCTGTGCCTATATGTATTATTGCTGGTTTCATCCATTTGTGCTCATTCAACACTTCCTTTCTTAGAGTTGCCAAAGCTTTCTCTTTGGATTTCTTATATGTATAATTGCAGTCTCCTAAAATTGAAGAACGTCTATCTATATGTAAATTCCTATTTGGTCTTCAACTTTTCATAAATGTCGTAATCATGTCTCCAAACCTTTTAACATTGTGCATTAGTATCTTCACATGTTGAAGAACGTCTATCTATATGTAAAAGCAACACGCACTATATGTAAAAGGGACACAATTACCTTAAAAGAATTTCATTATTCCAAAATTCATAGGGCAACTTAAAATTACAACAAATGTTGCCTTTTTTTTTTTTTTGACAATTTTGTCGTTTTAGTTTGATATCACATTCGACATGGTCATTTAATGTCTAAGCACACTTTTCTCATTGAGCGGGGATATCGAGTGCATAATGTTAAAGGTATGTGGATATGGGTGGGGCAAATGGCAAATGCAAAGTTTGGGACACGGCTGCCACACTTATGTGAGGTTGGGAACCCCTTGGGGGATTTACCCTAAAAATAATGGTGTCAAACCTTAGCACATTGATGCTGTAGGCATCCTTTTTTATTTTTTTTCCTTCCTCTCTTATATGGTGTGACAATTTAAGGTCTTTGTTAATAAGCACAAATCATGTAGATCTACATGCTCGTTGCATAATCATGTATTTATTCCATTACCAACCATTATGTCATTTGGTCACAACACTCCAAAAAGATTCAGATGTTCATTGCATGCTAGTGTGGTTTTATGTGTAAAGAAATGTAGAGTTACGTTTTGCATTGGGTAAGGATGAGACATTGCTAGTACACCCTTTTCTTTTACATCTCAGTTTTGGAAGCAAGCACTTCTATTTTGTAGTTTAACACCTGTTTGATATGTGTTTTTGTTTGCATATTGTCCTACAAATTTTTATGAATGAGTTTTTTCTCACTTGGATTTAATTGATGTAAAAAAGTCCATGATAAGTATCTATAGAAGTGCTATGGTGGGTGCTAGAGAGAAAATGAAATTCTATTGGATAAATTATATAATTAAAGACATGTTTAATGGAACAGTCATTAGTGTGAGATGCAGTGATAGTAGTAATGGAGAATTTCCTCACTATAGGTCTTCAGTTGTCTCATATTCTCTCTTTAATCATTAACATGCTATGATGCATATCCAAGAAAGAGGTTTCTAGGGTTATGTTATTCGATTTTGGGTAAAAAAGTTTCATCATAAGTTCAATCTTTGGATGAGTACTTCGAATCTAAGTGTTTTTATATAAAAGAATCAATACAGTACATGTAATGCCACTTATTCTTATTTGGACTGGTTAATAGGAAATCATGAAGGCCCATGCCCTCTACTGGTGACTTTCATTACACTTGGGAAGGGATCCGGCTTAAGATCAGCCCAAGTAGTTGAGCCTACATCATTATTTGTGAGAGTGAGAATCTGCATTTGTGCGGCCCCCTTTTGAGGAAAAAAATAAATAAAGAAAAACAAACACGCATTGTACAGCTTAAAAGATCAGTTCTATTGATCAATTATAATACCCGCTATGCTTTAGGTACGAGTGCTTGGCTATTAAAGGACAATGCCCATATATGAACGTAGAGCAAACAAAGATGCTATGATGAATGTGTTGTCATACTAGAATGGATAATGAACGAGAATTTACCCCAACAAATGGAGATGATGCTGATTGAGGAGAAATTAAGAGAACAAAAACTTAGACACTTGGAACAAATTTTGTGCAGACAAGAGGCTCCGAACCACAAGAGTGATGCAATCTCATTAGAGAAGGTTAGAATAGATTCTAATAGGGCTTGTAGTGGTTGCCAAGGATACAATTGTTTTTGTCTCCCTATAATTGTAATGAACCGAAGGAGCGGCAAAGAAAGATTCACGTTGCCTTTGTTGTCGTTGAGGGCAATTTTCCTGTATGTTTAAGAGCAAAAGAGGTAATGTTTCCGAAAAAGAGCAGTAATAGGTCATTCAGTTCTATTACTCGAGCATTTCTTGTACAACTGAAATTTTTATGCAATTTCTGTACTTTTTAGGAAAAATATAATTTTTGCAAGTCATGTAATGGTACTGGTGTTTGATTTCAGTGTGAATTGGTAGTGGTGGTTGCAAGTAGGGCAGCTGAGGCATGCTGCTTGTGCTGCCTTTGTAAGGATTGTGTTTGTTCTAGAACCTGAGAGAATATGGCTTTCTATAACTCACCTTTTAATGTAGTTATCTAAGACATTCAATTTGAGAGTTGGTCAAAGTATGCTTTAGGATGTCAGTATAAATTCCTGTTAGCACTACTGTACTAGCGGCATCTCTTCTCCATATTTTGCTGCATTTGGTTTCCAGCTAACAGTTGGAGCTTCATTGCTGGCCAATTACTTATGCTAGTATCCCGTCATTTACTTAAGGTGGACCCAAAGGTCCGAAACAGGACAATTATGAGTCTTGTTTGAGCGTTATTCATTTTGCTGACACAGGCTATCTATCTGGCTTCTGTTACCTGCTTGATGTGATCTATCATTATTTGGCATGGTCACCCCAATATTTAGTTTTAACTGATCGTTGTATGATACAAGCAACCTATCTATCTTCTTTTACCTGCTTGACACAATGATCATTATTTGACCTGGTCACCCCAATATGTAGTTTTAATATATTTGGTGTATGATATTTCAGGGATTATCTGTAACTGAGCTTTGTTTACTTACTAGTTTATAGGTTTAGGCACTTTCTGTTGTTCTTTTGCTCACATAATTAAGGTATTTAGGTTCACTGGAAGGTTCAGAGGCTGCTTTATAAAATTTGTTCGAATAAGCATGCCGCCAAATCCAAGAGTTGCCAAAGCCTTTCATGCTATGAAGGCTATTGGGATCTCCGAAGATAAGGTGAAGCCAGCATTGAAAAATCTACTAAAGTTGTTTGATAAAAATTGGGAACTTATTGAAGAGGAAAACTATAGAGCCCTTGCTGATGCTATATTTGAGAGGGAGGAATCTGAGGTATGGTGTTCCCCTCAAAAAATGTTATTCTTTTGTTCTTTTTCCTTTTTTCCTCTTTGGAGTTATTACCTCTAAGTTAATTCCATCTGTTAGACTCCGTATTTTTCATAGTTTTTGTTGAACTATAATTTTTTTATTTATCCTCTCATTCAGGCAATAGAGCAGTCAAAGAAGATTGTGAACAATGAAGTAAGCAGCTTCTTTTTTTCTTCTTCTTGATTGTCGTGCTTTCTGGAAACAATTTTTAATGCTTGTGAATTTTGGTCATTAGTCTCTTTTTTCTCTTATTTTCGTCAATCTTACGACACTGAACCTGTCCACTTCCCTTAAATGGCAGGAGGATTATTTGGAGGAAGAAGCTCAGGTGAATGAGGAGCCTGAACGACCCTTAAAAAGGTTGCGACTAAGAAATCGAGAAGTTGCTCAGGTGAATCAGGAGCCTGAACGAACTTTCAAAAGGTTGCGACTAAGAAATCGAGAAGTTGCTCAGGTGAATCAGGAGCCTGAACGAACTTTCAAAAGGTTGCGACTAAGAAATCGAGAAGTTGCTCAGGTGAATCAGGAGCCTGAACGAACTTTCAAAAGGTTGCGACTAAGAAATCGAGAAGTTGCTAAGGTGAATCAGGAGCCTGAACGAACTTTCAAAAGGTTGCGACTAAGAAATCGAGAAGTTGAAGTGTTACCTTCCTTAAATAATACTAGCTTGCCTGGAACTTCACTTGTCATACCTAAAGAAGAACAGGTTGAACTTCTTGAAACAAGTCTACAGAATCAGAATCAGTCACAAGACAAAGCAGATTCACCTCAGCCCAATACTAAAAAATTGAGGGCTGAGTCACAGGAGAGGAGCGATCCCTCTCAGCCTAGTGCTGTCAATAAAAGTCAGCAAAAGACCAGTTTGAGAACTGAATCCAATTCAGTTTCTCATCCAATGCGCCTGAGAGACAGAGGAAAGGGAACTCTCTCACCACAAATTCCTTCTGGGGAGAAGAGGTCATCTCTTGCTGGATGCCATAAAGAGCCAAACCTTCAGCCCAGCATTGCCGGGTTACCCAAACAGAAGACCACTACTGTCTACTGACTTTGCTCTGTGGTTGCCAAAATGAAATCCGCCTCTGCCTCTCCCTTGAGAATCACCAAATTGGTTACTATATTGCTGGTGCTGATTTTTATGATCCTTATATCCTTTACCTCTTCCTCTATTTGCTTTGTTTGAAGACCAACCATAACCACTTGTTGACGCCTTCAATGCTTGTTCATCTTTGTCCTGCTCATGATCAACTGTTCATGGATAAGCAAAGAGCTTTGGAGTTCATCTAGTGAAAGCTCATCAACATCTTTTGACTCCTTTATTGAGCAGATAACAAAATTAAATTTTAGAGTCATGGACCGAAGTAATTTTTCGACAATGGTAACATCTTCAGTCTTGTCACCATGAATCCGCATCTTATTGGCAATCGTCATTACCCGTGAGAAGTACTCCATCACAGATTCTCCTGACTTCATTCGAGTTGTTTCAAATTCTGTTCGAAGAGCTTGTAGCTACTGCCTTTTCGCTCTTGTCGATCCCCGATATTTCTTTTTCATAGAATCCCAGATTTGTTTGGACGTATCTTTGCAAAGAATAGTTTCCAAGATTGAGCGATCGATGGCTTGAAACAAATAATTCTTGGCTTTAAGATCCTTCGGACGTTGGCTTTCCACTTCTATTTTCTGTGCTTCTGAAGCTGTTGCATCCACCATTTCTGGTATTCCTTCAGAAACTACTGGCCAATATTCCTTAGATCTCAGAAAATTCTCCATTAACATGCTCCAATGATCATAGTGCCCATCAAAACGGGAATAGCTGGTTGTACGAAGCTGTCTGACGCCATCATTCACTGCTACTGCTGAAAGAAAAGAAGAAGAACTGAAAAAAAATGAAAGATTGTTATTGTAGCTCTCTCACTTTTTTCACAACCAAGCTCTGATACCACTGATAATTTAGAAACAAGAAAGTAGAAACAGGAAAGTGAACTTTATTGCTCTCAGAAATCAATGAAGTGATCCCTACCCATTAATGGCAAAGAGTGAACCCGCCTGATGTAATATATTTCTTTCTCTACCTGCCTCTGTCTGCAAAGACCTCGCCAAATGATTCATATCGTCAAGTGTACCCATTCCAAATTTCAGTTCAATCAAATGATCGCGGCTGCCAGAGTCCATCCCCGCCTTTATCGAGAAGGAAGAGATATAAAGGTTGGACATCCATTGCAAACAGAGTTATTATTACCACAGTAACATGCTCTATTTATAGAGCTGAAAACCAACGATATCTGCAGCCACTAACCACTAACTCCTGATAAAATGCTAAAGACTAGGTAAATGTAAAACAAACTTCAATTTGACTGGGCCAAAAACAAGCCACGTTCCTTTTTATAACAAATATAATTTATTAACTTACCTAAAGACTAGGACAATAAGGCAATAGCAATTAAAATAGACTTGACTTTTCCAACATGCTTGCCTGTTGCCGCGAATTTTAGAAATGTCAGATTATTCAAGTTAAGTCCAAATGTTATAATTTTTTTGTTTGAATTTTCTCAATTTTTGTCGTCCCAATAGAGAACGGTATTTTTTTTCAATATATTGGCTTTTATTTTATAGTTTATACTTTATAGTGACTATATAGTGACTAAAAATGGAATTATTGGAAGGAAAGTAATAGAAGGAGAAAAAGCAACCTAGTGTATGATTTTCAACTTTTTTTGAAGGTCAGGTCAATATATGGTTCTTTGAAACAGCGAATTAATGTTCTGCACTGCCCACTGTCTGTAAGAGCTCCCATTAGCTAGTTGATAGTGTTCAAAAGTGACAGAAGGAGTTGTACCAAATAATCTAGAAGGAAGAAATCTTTTGTGTTTTTTTTTTTTTTTTCATCAACTGAAAAACGTTTTGAGTATAGTGGCAATTTGCAGCACAAGATGGATGTTTATGACATTGGGAAACAGAGTTTTTAGAGCTATAATTCCACAGTGAAAATGCATCTTTCACAAGTTTTCTAATCTTAGCTAGGGACATGCTTGAGATTGGTTTGAAATTGTAGAGAAGCTTTAAGCTCTATTCAGGCTTATTAATTCAGACTTGAAGCAACAAATTATTAGCCTTTATTAACCAAAATTCAAGTTGAGCTTGGAAGCTGTCTGTCTATTTAGTAGTTAGGAGATCAAGTGGAGTAAAAAACTGAAGTTTTAAATTTGTCGGATGTTGGTACATTTAAGTAAATGAGCCTTAAAAATGTCATTCTTAAGTTGAGGCTTCACCGGGCAGCCAACATCTTCAAATTATATTTTTCTTTAACTGTAGGTCAATTTATGATTTCTCCCAACTTCAGTGCTCGAGCCCATGGTAAAAAAATTTAGTTTCTCCCTCAGGTTGAATCAGACAAACTGTGGTATGAATAAAAAATTGCCCAAACTTCATTTTACACCCATCAGATCCACTTCACTCATTCTGTCTGGAATGGTGTGTTTCAGTTCTCTGGTTTAATATTTTTGGTTCTAAACCTTTACCCATATTGTTGACACGGTATACACTTCTATTCTAGTAATTGGTATTTCAGAGGCCTTTCATCCATTTCTATATCTGATTTTTGGGGAAAGAACTCTTTGGTCAGTCAAGTTAAATTGCATTATTTTATTAGGTTTTAAAAGACATCTCCACCCTAGGTGGTCAAAATTGTGCCAAAGAATCACTTGTATTGGACAAATACATCCATGTTTTGCATGCTTTACATGTGTACGGCGTTGATTAATATGCCAACTAGTCGATATCTTCTATGCTTATATCACATTTAAGTTTTCACTACAGAGGCATTACAACATTTTTTCAACAAGTAATACGAATTTATCATTTATGGTCAACCGCCAGTTCCTTTCATAGAGGTACCAAAGCTTTCTCTTCGTGTTTACCTATAATTGCCAATCCATTCATCATGATCGATCATCACTTCCTCTCATAGAGGTGCCAGCTTTCTATTTGGATTTCTTATCTGTATAATTGTAGTCTCCTAAAATTGATGTGTAATGGGAAAAATGAAAACAATGTTTTTCCATCTAAGTAGAATTGAATTACTCTAACGTTATTAATTTGTTTAGAATTTCTCCGTGTCCTTGCATTTGTTCTTGAGTAAAATTCTAAAGTGTTATTTTATCTCTTGATCTCGATGTGCATTGTTTTCTGTCATGTTTTTTAGTTTTAAAATCCAGTTACTTTGAATTTTGTAATAGATCTAGCAATGAGCAGAACATAGTGACAAAAAATCTTATCGACCTACAAATTTTTTGGTACGGAGCCTAATTTTTTGCCGCTGTTTGTTGTATTTGGTTCCAGATAGAAAAAAGAACTTAGAATCATAAAATTCTCATAGGTACCTGTACTGCTGTAAAAAAGTTTTTGATTAGGAGATTAATTAATTGATATGAAACATGGCCTTGAAAAACTTTGAGTTGATCCCAAAAAGTGAAAAAGTAATTCCTCAGGGATGGAATGAATATTAGTGATATGCTTACATGTCATATTTAACTGCGATAAATTTAGGGGTAAATTTGTCCAGGGATCCTAACCTTCAATTAGTGTAGCAATTATGTCTTTAAACCTTTTAACGTTGTGCATGTGCTATCTTCATCTATTGAATTCGAGATGTAAAAGTGATAGACATGTGATGTATGATTGAATGTGTAAAATTGTCAAGAAAGGATTTTCTTCCAAAATTTAAAGGGCTGCCATTAAAATTACATTAAATATTGCCTTTTTTTAACAATTTTACCCTTTCAGTCTGACATTACTTGCTTGTCGCATGACAATTACATGTGTGAGGTGTTGATTAATAAGCCAGCTTATCAAAATCTTCAATGCTTAAATTGCATTTAATTTTTCACAACAGCGAAAAAATCATTACAATATTTTTTGAACAAGTAATATGAATTCATCATTTATTGTCAGTCATCAGTTCCTCTCATAGAGGAACCACATCTATCTCTGTGCCTATATGTATTATTGCTGGTTTCATCCATTTGTGCTCATTCAACACTTCCTTTCTTAGAGTTGCCAAAGCTTTCTCTTTGGATTTCTTATATGTATAATTGCAGTCTCCTAAAATTGAAGAACGTCTATCTATATGTAAATTCCTATTTGGTCTTCAACTTTTCATAAATGTCGTAATCATGTCTCCAAACCTTTTAACATTGTGCATTAGTATCTTCACATGTTGAAGAACGTCTATCTATATGTAAAAGCAACACGCACTATATGTAAAAGGGACACAATTACCTTAAAAGAATTTCATTATTCCAAAATTCATAGGGCAACTTAAAATTACAACAAATGTTGCCTTTTTTTTTTTTTGACAATTTTGTCGTTTTAGTTTGATATCACATTCGACATGGTCATTTAATGTCTAAGCACACTTTTCTCATTGAGCGGGGATATCGAGTGCATAATGTTAAAGGTATGTGGATATGGGTGGGGCAAATGGCAAATGCAAAGTTTGGGACACGGCTGCCACACTTATGTGAGGTTGGGAACCCCTTGGGGGATTTACCCTAAAAATAATGGTGTCAAACCTTAGCACATTGATGCTGTAGGCATCCTTTTTTATTTTTTTTCCTTCCTCTCTTATATGGTGTGACAATTTAAGGTCTTTGTTAATAAGCACAAATCATGTAGATCTACATGCTCGTTGCATAATCATGTATTTATTCCATTACCAACCATTATGTCATTTGGTCACAACACTCCAAAAAGATTCAGATGTTCA